TCTCTCTCTCTCTCTCTCTTTCTCTCTCTCTCTCTCTCAGCCCAGTCCCGTTCTCTCATCCCCCTCTCTATTTGTGGACATATAATGGTTCAGAGACATGCAAGCTTTTCTTCGCTCACGCAATTTTACTCCTATACCTCTTCTGTTGTGAAATAATGATTCCTGAGTGGGAAATTATTGTCTAAGTACAATATTGAATAATCTTTACACAATACCAAGCACAGTCACTAAATGGTACTGTACACTACTACCATGGCTAATTTACATAATCTATCTTCAAATTATCTGGCGCTCGTGTCATCAGCAGCAGTTGCAATCAGAATTTCATTTGTACCGAGTTAAAGGGTTAAATATATAAACGAGTGAGTACTGCATTGTATAGGATAAGAAGCGACAGTTTTTGAAATCGCTTTTTTCTTTAATTTTTACAAAACACAAACACACATCATCTAGTTTACGAAATAATTCACCTAGAAAACAATTTTCGTGACACCTAATTTTACAGAAATTGTATAATTTAATTTTTGTCAAGGAGAATGCAATCATTGAATGTTATAGAAAGAAGACAATCACATTGTATCGATATCGTTGACTAAATTGTATTTTTCCACAACAATTGAGGCTAGATTATAAAACTTTTCTTCATAAATTTATATAAAATACCATAAATATCCGTCACGACTTTTGACAGTGCGCGGATTTGATATCGTTTTTTCTTTTTTAACCTTATCCGTACGTCGAGTTTTACTATCGTATCCATACGGCATGAGGAACTCTGTGCCACCACTTTCCAAAGAGGAAATTTACTCTTTAATCCGATCAGTACGCTTTACATAGCAGTCTGTCAAAGTGATTTTTTGAGAAATACAGAAAGTTTCAATCAAAGAGATCTTCTTACTAGAAGAATTATTAAGTGTGAAGCATACAACCCCGTGGGTACAAAATGACCCCAGGGCGTACGGATAGGGTTACGTGCGCGGTTTCATTGCTTTCCCCTACCTTTGCGATCCTGTGGGTCGAAGGGTGCAGTGGAAGAGGACGGGCCACTTCTCAGCACAGACAGTTTAATTTAATTTTTGTCAAGGAGAATGCAATCACTGAATAGTATAGAAGTCAATCACATTCTATCGACATCGTTGACTTAATCATATTTTCCCACAACAATTGAGGCTAGATTATAAAGCTTTTCTTCGTAAACGAATATAAAATACCATAACGTATCTCCGTCACGGCTTTGACTTTTCGAGGATTTGCTATCTTTTTTTTCTCCTTTTTTTAAACGATTGCGATGCTTTCCCCTACCTTTGCGATCCTGTGGGTCGAAGGGTGCAGTGGAAGAGGACGGGCCACTACTGAGCACAGGTAGTTTAGCAGGCGGGAAGAAGGTGGCGGCCGGCCTCTGGGGGTGATCTGTCATGGGGAGGGGGATAGCCTGATTGTGTGTGTGTGTATGTGTTAATATGTGTGTGTGTGTGTATGTGTGTGTGTATTCGTGCATGGGGGGGGGGGGGGGAGAGAAGCAAGGGGGGAGAAGAGTGAACAGAGGAAGCGCCAAGCTGGTTCCTGGA